TACAGGTCCAAAGGAAACCTCTGGATTGGAGGATTTGGATCAGATCTATAACAGATCCTTGCCTACACGATTCTCTGTGGAAAAATACATAAAAAWGTCACAATATGTTTATTTTCTGCCTATGAATATTATTATCTAATTAGTCATTTTAAACTTGTTGCCTCCATAAGGGAGTAATAACATGATAATAATGAAGTAGTAATAACAGTTTGGAATATTTATATTATATTAGAGGTCAGCACTGTTGCCTCTCAGCAGGCTCACCGTCCAGCCTGGGGCCTTTCTGGGTGGAGTTTCTATGTTCTTACAGTGCATTATGGGTTTTTCACAAGTTACTTCAGTTTCCTCCCACAGACTAAAAACTTGCATGCAAAGTTTATTGGTAACGTTAAACTGTTTCCAGGTGTGAACATAAATTATTGTTCATTTCGTTTGTATCCATGTGGCCCTTGTGATGAACCCGTGACCTGTACATCCATCCTGGATGGATGGCTGGATGATTGCTACATCAGCAGAGCGATAGTTGTCATTGATGCCTGTTACAACATTCAGCTTGTGCAGCATGTGACAAATTATGAATACAGACACACACACATACACACACTTGTTCCTCTTTCCTTATTAGGACTTTACATTGACTTCCATTAATTTCCAGTCATTGCTATAGCCTAACTCTGACCTTTACCCTTCACACCTTGGACGTAAATGTAGCCACAAACCCAAACACTGCACTTAAATTCATGGAGACCAGGCTTTTGTCCCCATAAGGAACAGTGGGTCCTAACAGGACGTGTACTGAAAAAATGGTCAAAAATTGTCTCCATAAGGTAGCAAATACACGTACACACACACATACCCAGGAATGGTGAAATGTCCATCTTATTGTGAGATGACATTTGTGAGGTTTAGAACGTCACTATAAAACAGGCTTTAAACTYCGCTGCCCAGARAACTATCTAAAACAGGTAAGATACTAATTGTGATTTACTGCTAAAGCACACTTCTGAAASAAAATTTATTCTGTTTMACACMGATTTTTAATGCATCAAGCATTCTTGTTTTTTACATAGACATCTAGGCCATTTTTAAAAATTATCTAATTGTGTACTTGCCTATCATGTGTCAYGATTAAACTGTGATTAATTTATGTGCAAATTGCTTTGAATGACCCATGTCACGGTCATCTTGAAACAGAAGGCACATGCGTTATCACCATACAACAGATCAGCATTTAACTTTTTTTTWAAATCAGAACTCAGCATTAAGGATCTGGTCACTGGTATGGAGGACCCTCCCAGTCCTTGTGATGTCTTGCCCCTGAGGAGTGGACAGATCCAGAAGAGTTTATTTAAATCTGTTCTGGGGTCTTGAGTCGTGGCCAAATAAAGGTCTGTATTTTTGKTCCAGCTGAAGATACGGCTTTATTCTTTGCTCTATCTTATTCCGTATTTGTCTCTCAACTTGCATTGAAGTAAAAGAACACGGTTGTTTTACAATTCAAACGATCTGAATGATCATTTTGAGTTGGTCAAGTCTTACCACTTAATAAACATTGGGAATAGATCGACTGCTAAAAAGATAAATCTTTGAGGCAATGCTGGACTACTCATAACATCAAACAGCTGCTTGCTTGTCTCCTCACATGTGCGGCCCCTGCAGGTTGCTCATCACTTTAATGTGGACATAGTTGACTCTTTCAGGATTCAGGCCGTCCAGTTCAACACTTCCGAACATGCTGTGGGAAATCAAATACGCAAATGATGTTAGTTGTCAGTAAAATCTGACAGCATGACAAATGCGTGGTCCACCGTTTTTTTTTTACCTTTGTCTGCTGAAGGCGTTTACAATAGAGCCATTCAGTAAGACGGTGATGTTGCCACATGCCATTTCTGCAAACTAAAACATGAGTGAAGAAAAAATGGGGAGTGCTTTTCTAAAGTGACTAAAGCAAAAGTGTGGGAGGATATACAGTAGGAATTCAGACTCACATTTTTTGAGGCCTGCTTCCACAAGGAAAAAACTGGATGAGTTCCACATGTGGACCACTCTGGRCAAGAGTTGAAATCAAAGTCTGCAATAAATACATAATGTTAGATAAAATGTAAAAATACATATTGCAGAAAAATATAAAAGAAGGAATGCATATTGCTCTCTGCCTAACATAATTTTATATAGAAACGTGATGAAGTTATAGCCAAACCTAAACAAAAATCTGATGCAAAATCCTAGCTGACATCTCATGTGATCTGTCAGTGCTTACAGTTTGTCAGGGCTATTCAACTGGCGGCCCGTGGGCCACATCAGGCCCACTGGTGACCAAAATCTGGCCCACTAATATGTTCATTAATATCTTAAGCCCAAACCCCTGGTTTTCAACTTTAATAATGTTCTTAACATAATGACTTTAATTGCAGAATGTTCTGCCCCTCAGCTGTTGGTCTGCAGTAACTGTGGCCCCTGGACCAAATTTAGTTGTATAGCCCTGCATTATGTGTCAGAAATGACTCTTAGCTGCTACTACACCAGATTTTAGCGTAGCATGTGCACAATTCACTACGTTATAGCAATTTTTGTGTAGCCTGTCAATCAGCTGTTATTTTAAACTGAGTTGAMTGTAAAAGTGAATCAGTTGCAGATGCACAGTGAGTCGTAACTTTCTGCAAGTTTCATTAAATTCGTCTAGTGTCTTGTGACAGRTTTTGCTAACGGTGTGATGYAAACACATGCAGACAAGAACRTTATCACCTTTCAGAAGCAGCACATGAAAACAATGTGTGATTATGGGTTTTTTAGCACCAGATGTTGGACTGGTGTGCTGATTTTATTTCTCTGCTGAAAATGTAAAAGTGTCTAAAAGCTGTCACCCACCAGGGTCTTCCTCCTGGCCACACCAGATGAGGTCATTGAACATGTATCCAACCAGCGTGTCTTCCAGCGTCCACAAGTGTTGAAAAACTGCTGCAAAGGTGTGCATCAGTGCCCTGGTTTTACTCCAGAAAAGGAACTAAAAGAAATAAAGAAAACTTGCAAATTTGTGCAAACATAAATAAACACACACAATGTGAATCCTGCTCACCCTGTCACATGGCCAGATTTGTGGCATAGCATTAAACAGATGATAATAATGCTCCTCTGTCACGTTACATGAGGACTGATGGACAACGGCCTCCTCAAACTGTCTCCAGATGTCTTCACAGTCATACCTGCAGTCAGAGGACAGGCCATCAAACAGCAAACTGTTAATAATCATCCTGTGACCAAGAATGGTCAACAACTAACAAACAACAACAAAATTATTACTGTAATTACTATATTATTACTATAATCAGAATAAAACTCCCACAGAGCAGTCACAGCATTCACATCTAGAACTGATCAACTTTTGGAATCAATCTCATTCAGAGTCAGCATTTTATTTGCACTAGTTAAATTAGTAACTTTAACTAGTCATAGTATAAGCATTTTTAGGCATACTAGCCAACTAGTTTAAAATTCTTACCAGCACTGGTTAACTAGTGAAGAAAAACAAACAAACACAAACTAGTAAACATTTTATAGTTTACTAGACAAGTTAAATTGTTACATCAGAGTAGTCAACTAGTACGCACACTGGACAGTTACCGATCGACTAGTAGTCATTGTGTTGATTTAACATGTAAAAGTTGTTGATGCCTACTAGTTAACTCATACAAGACATAGACTAGTTTGGTCCAGTGGTCCATAAGTGTAGCAAATTAGTTGACTAAAATGACTTCAGCTTCAGCTAGTTAAATGCTGCCAGTAAAAGTATTGAACTAGTGCACTGATAACTTTAACCAGTGTGACTAAATGCACAACTAGTGCAGTTGTGAGGTATGGGTGCTGCTTAATACAAATGACATCAAATAAGTACATAACCAGTTTGCTATATGCACAATGTCTTACCTCATACCCAGGTTACCCAGAGTGGTGTAAGAGAAACATCGTCCAATCACAATGTGTTTGATGTTAGGGGTGGTCCCTAGCTGTGCTCCTGCTTGCCTCCTGCTGAGCTGAAATGTACTAAACCCTTTGAAAGGKTCACCAAGAACAAATACAGACAACATTATTGATTACACGTGAGAATGTCTTGTTAYGCAAAAGAATGATCACATAAAAGTCAGAGGGAATCACTTACATATAGTAATGCTGATTATAGCGAAGGAAGCTGATGTTACAGAAGGCATGATGGTGGAAATCAAACCAAAGGTTTCCAGATGTCACCTTTTGTAGCTGAGCCTAAAACAGGAAGACAAAAAAATGCAGTACCTTAACTTTGAATGTAGCTCCAAGGAAGCAGGATCAATTTGAACTATTAATATAAAATAAAAACAGAACCAGTTGTGTTT